GAAAATGCCCTGCCCCTGCCTTAATGGATGACATTCCACCACAAAAGAAGTGAAAATGGCTGGTCCTTGCCTTAAGTGATGACATTATCTTGTGAAATTCCTTGTCCTGGATCATCCTGGCTCAAAAAGCTCCCCCACTGAGCACCTTGTGACCCCCACCCCTGCCCACCAGCGAACAACCCCCCTTTGACTGTAATTTTCCTTTACCTACCCAAATCTTATAAAACGGCCCCACCCCTATCTCCCTTCTCTGACTCTTTTTGGACTCAGCCCGCCTGCACCCAGGTGATTAAAAAGCTTTATTGCTCACACAAAGCCTGTTTGGTAGTCTCTTCACACGGACGCGCATGACACTTAGGGAGACTGGTCCCCTGTCGTCGCCCTCACTCCGTGAGGAGATCCACCTATGACCTTGGGTCCTCAGACCAACCAGCCCAAGGAACATCTCACCAATTTCAAATCAGGTAAGCGGTCTTTTCACTCTTCTCCAGCCTCTCTCGCTACCCTTCAATCTCCCTGCCTTTCCAATTCCAGTTCTTTTTCCTCTCTAGTAGAGACAAAGGAGACACATTTTACCCGTGGACCCAAAGCTCCGGCGCTGGTCACGGACTCAGGAAGATAGTCTTCCTTTGGTGTTTAATCACTGCGGGGATGTCTGCCTGATTATTCACCCACATTTCATTGGTGTCTGATCACCGTGGGGACGTCTGCCTCGATCATTCACCCACATTCCCTTGGTGGCAAGTCAATTGTGGGGATGCCTGCTGTGGCTGCTCACCCACATTGCAGCCCAGGGCTGCTCACCCACCCTCTTCTCTGTGTCTCTACCTTTCTCTTTAAACTTACCTCCTTCACTATGGGCAACCTACCGCCCTCCATTCCCCCTTCTTCTCCCTTAGCCTGTATTCTCAAGAACTTAAAATCTCTTCAATTCACACCTGACCTAGAACTTAAACGCCTTATTTTCTTTTGCAATACCGCTTGGCCCCAAACTTGACAGTAGTTCCAAGTGGCCAGAGAATGGCACTTTCGATTTGTCTATCCTACAAGATCTAGATAATGTTTGTTGAAAACTGGGCAAATGGTCTGAGGTGTCTGACGTCTAGGCATTCTTTTACACATCGGTCCCTCCCTAGTCTCTGCTCCCAATGCAACTCGTCCCAAATCTTTCTTCTTTCTCTCCTGTCTGTTCCTTCAGTTTCCACCCCAAGCTCTGAGTCCTTTGAATCCTTCTTTTCTACGGAATCATCTGACCTCTCCCCTTCTCCCCAGGCTGCTCCTTGCCAGGCCAAGCCAGATCCCAATTCTTCCTCAGCCTTTGCTCCCCTACCCTGTAATCCTTCTATTACCTCCCCTCCTAACACCTGGTCTGGCTTACAGTTTTGTTCTGCGACTAGCCCTCCCCCACCTGCCCAACAATTTCCTCTAAAAGAGGTGGCTGGAGCTAAAGGCATAGTCAAGGTTAACGCTCCTTTTTTCTTTATCTGACCTCTCCCAAATCAGTTAGCATTTAGGCGGTTTTTCATCAAATATAAAAACCCAGCCCAGTTCATGGCCCATTTGGCAATAACCCTTAGACACTTTACTGTCCTAGACCCCAGAGGAAGGCCATCTTATTCTCAATATGCATTTTATTATCCAATCCGCTCCCAACATTAGAAAAAGCGCCAAAAATTAGATTCTGGCCCCACAACAGGACCTAATTAAGCTCGCCTTCAAGGTGTACAATAATAGAGAAGAGGCAGTCAAGTAGCAACATATTTCTGAGTTGCAATTAACTTGCCTCCACTGTGAGAGAAACCCCAGCCACATCTCCAGCACACAAGAACCTCAAAATGTCTGAACCGCAGAGGCCAGGCATTCCTCCAGGACCGCCTCCCCAAGGATATTGCTTCAAGTGCTGGAAATCTGGCTACTAGGCCAAGGAATGCCCGCAGCCTGGGATTCCTCCTAAGCTATGTCCCATCTGTGTGGGACCCCACTGGAAATCAGACTGTCCAACCCGGCAGCCACTCCCAGAGCCCCTGGAGCTCTGGCCCAGGGCTCTCTGACTGACTCCTTTGCAGATCTTCTCGACTTAGCAGCTGAAGACTGATGCTGCTCCATCGCCTCGGAAGCTTCTTGGACCATCACAGACACTTTGGGTAAGTCTTAGAGTGGAGGGTAAGTCCATGCCCTTCTTAATCATTATGGAGGCTACCCACTCCACATTACCTTCTTTTCAAGGGCCTGTTTCCCTTGCCTCCATAACTGTTGTGAGTATTGATGGCCAAGCTTCAAAACCCCTTAAAACTCTCCAACTCTGGTGCCAACTTGGACAACATTCTTTTATGCACTCTTTTTTAGTTATCCCCACCTGCCCAGTTCCCTTATTAGGCTGAGACATTTTAACCAAATTATCTGCTTCCCTGATTATTCCTGGGCTACAGCCACACCTCATTGCCACCTTTTCCCCCAGTTCAAAGCCTCCTTCACATCCTCTCCTTGTATCTCCCCACCTTAATCCACAAGTATAGGACACCTCTACTCCCTCCTTAGTGACTGATCATGCATCCCATACCATCCCGTTAAAACCTAGTCACCCTTACCCCACTCAATGCCAATATCCCATCCTATAGCACACTTTAAAAGGATTAAAGACTGTTATCACTCACCTGTTACAGCATGGCCTTTTAAAGCCTATACACTCTCCTTACAATTCCATTTTACCTGTTGAAAAACCAGACAAGTCTTACAGGTTAGTTCAGGATCTGTGCCTTATCAACCAAATTGTCTGGCCTATCCACCCCACAGTGCCAAACCCATATACTCTCCTATCCTTAATACCTCCCTCCACAACCCATTCTGTTCTAGATAAACCTAGCTGACCCCATAAATCCTAAATCCTTTCCTCACTCCCCTTTCCATTCCTTAAAACACAGCCCTAAAAGCTGCTCCCGCACTAGGTCTCCCTAACTCATCCCAACCCTTTTCATTACACACAGCCAAAGTACAGGGCTGTGCGGTCAGAATTCTTACACAAGAGCCGGGACTGCGTGCTGTAGCCTTTCTGTCAAAACAACTTGACCTTACTGTTTTAGCCTAGCCCTCATGTCTGTGTGCGGTGGCTGCCGCTGCCTTAATACTTCCAGAGGCCCTCAAAATCACAAGCTATGCTCCACTTACTCTCTACAGTTCCCATAACTTTCAAAATCAATTTTCCTCCTCACACATGACGCATATACTTTCTGCCCTCCCAGCTCCTTCAGCTATACTCAGTCTTTGTTGAGTCTCCCACAATTACCATTGTTCCTGGCCCAGACTTCAATCTGGCCTCCCACATTATTCCGGATACCACACCTGACCCCCATGACTGTATCTCTCTGATTCATCATCCTCCATTTCCCCATATTTCCTTCTTTCCTGTTCCTCACCCTGATCACACTTGGTTTATTGATGGCAGTTCCACCAGGCCTAATCGCCACTCACCAGCAAAGGCACGCTATGCTATAGTATCTTCCACATCTATCATTGAGGCTACTGCTCTGCCCCCTCCACTACCTCTCAGCAAGCCAAACTCATTGCCTTAACTCGGGCCCTCACTCTTGCAAAGGGACTATGCATCAATATTTATACTAACTCTAAATATGCCTTCCATATCCTGCACCACCATGCTGTTATATGGGCAGAAATAAATTTCCTTACTATGCTAGGGTCCTCCATCATTTATGCCTCTTTAATAAAAACTCTTCTTAAAATCGCTTTACTTCCAAAGGAAGCTGGAGTCATTCACTGCAAGGGCCATCAAAAGGCATCAGATCCCATCGCTCAGGGCAACACTTATGCTGATAAGGTAGCTAAAGAAGCAGCTAGTGTTCCAACTTCTGTCCCTCATGACAGTTTTTCTTCTTCTCATTGGTCACTGCTATTTACTCTCCTACTGGAGTTTCCACCTATCAATCTCTTCCCACACAAGGCAAATTGTTCTTGGACCAAGGGAAAAATCTGCTTACATCCTCACAGGCCCATTCTATTCTGTCGTCATTTCATAACCTCTTCCATGTAGGTTACAAGCTGTTAGCCTCCCTCTTAAAACCTTTCATTTCCTTTCCATTGTGAATATCTATCCCCAATCCTCCACTCTTGACTCCCTCTTGGAGTGGATAGATGATCTTTGCTGACAGGACACACTCCAACACTCTCTCCCTGATGAAGTCCTATTCTTCACTTTTATACTCATTCTTATTCTCGTTTCTGTTCTTATGCCACCCTCTACCTCTCCCCAGCTATCTCCACCACACTATCAATCTCACTCACTCTTCCTAGCCATTTCTAATCTTTCTTTAACAAACAATTGCTGGCTTTGCATTTCTATTTCCTCCAAAATCCCTGAGGCCTCAACACACTGCTGAAAAAGGAGGACTCTGTGTGTGTGTGTGTGTGTATATATATATATATTTTTTTTTTTTTTTTTGAAACAGAGTCTCGCTCTGTCGCCCAGGCTAGAATACAGTGGCGCGATCTCGGCTCACTGCAAGCTCTGCCTCCCAGGTTCACGCCATTCTCCTGCCTCAGCCTCCCGAGCAGCTGGGACTACAGGCGCCCGCCACCACACCCAGCTAATTTTATGTATTTTTAGTAGAGACGGGGTTTCACCATGTTAGCCAGGATGGTCTCCGTCTCCTGACCTCGTGATCCGCCCGCCTCGGCCTCCCAAAGTACTGGGATTATAGGTGTGAGCCACCGCGCCTGGCCAACTCTGTATATTTTTAAATGAAGAGCATTGTTTTCACCTAAATCAATCTGGCCTGGTATATGACAACATAAAAAAACTCAAGGATAGAGCCCCAAAACTCACCAACCAAGCAAATAATTATGCTGAACCGCCTTGGGCACTCTCTAATTGGATGTCCTGGGTCCTCCCAATTCTTAGTCCTTTAATACCTGTTTTTCTCCTTCTCTTATTCGGACTTTGTGTCTTCCTTTTGGTTTCTCAATTCATAAAAAGCTGCATCCCAGATTTGAATCGTGGGACCCGTTGGCAGAGGTGGCGGCAGCGGCATGGGTTACCCGACGTTGCCCCCTGCCTGGCAGCCCTTTCTCAAGGACCACCGCATCTCTACATTCAAGAACTGGCCCTTCTTGGAGGGCTGCGCCTGCACCCTGGAGCGGATGGCCGAGGCTGGCTTCATCCACTGTCCCACTGAGAACGAGCCAGACTTGGCCCAGTGTTTCTTCTGCTTCAAGGAGCTGGAAGGCTGGGAGCCAGATGACGACCCCATAGAGGAACATGAAAAGCATTCATCCGATTGCGCTTTCCTTTCTGTCAAGAAGCAGTTTGAAGAATTAACCCTCGGTGAATTTTTGAAACTGGACAGAGAAAGAGCCAAGAACAAAATTGCAAAGGAAACCAACCATAAGAAGAAAGAATTTGAGGAAACTGCAAAGAAAGTGCGCTGTGCCATCGAGCAGCTGGCTGCCATGGACTGAGGCCTCTGGCTGGAGCTGCCTGGTCCCAGAGTGGTTGCACCACTTCCAGGGTTTATTCCCTGGTGCCACCAGCCTTCCTGTGGGACCCTTAGCAATGCCTTGGGAAAGGAGAAGATCAATATTTTCCAATTAGATATTTCAGCTGTATCTTGTTTTGTCTGGAAAGTGGCACCAGAGGTGCCTCTACCTGTGCAGCGGGTACCGCTGATAACAGTGACTGCCTCTCTCTCTCTTTTTTTTTTTTGGCTCATTTTTGTCTTCCTGATTCCCGGACTTACCAGGTGAGAAGTGGTGGAGGAAGAAGGTGGTGTCCCTTTTGCTAGAGCTGACGGCTTTGTTGGCGTGGGCAGAGCCTTCCACAGTGAATGTGTCTGGACCTCATATTGTTGAGGCTGTCACACAGTCCTGAGTGTGGACTTGGCAGGTGCCTGTTGAATCTGAGCTGCAGGTTCCTCATCTGTCACACCTGTGCTGCCTCAGAGGCCACTTTTTTTTTTTTTTTTTTTGTAGATGCATTACTTGTTTGTGTGTGATGAGGAGGGGAATGCAGACAGTCTCTGGCTCCTCTACTGTTTCACAACGTGTCTTTCTTATTTTGTTTGAATTGTTAATTCACAGAATAGCACAAACTACAATTAAAACTAAGCACAAAGCCATTCTAAGTCATTGGGGAAACGGGGTGAACTTCAGGTGGACGTGGAGACAGAATAGAGTGATAGGAAGCATCTGGCAGATACTCCTTTTGCCACTGCTGTGTGATTAGACAGGCCCAGTGAGCTGCGGGGCACATGCTGGCTGCTCCTCCCTGAGAAAAAGACAGTGGCCTGAATCCTTTTTAAATGACTTGGCTGGATGCTGTGTGGGACTGGCTGGGCTGCTGCAGGCCGTGTGTCTGTCAACCCAACCTTCACATCTGTCACGTTCCCCACACGGGGGAGGGATGCAGTCTGCCCAGGTCCCGGCTTTCTTTGGCGGCAGCAGCTCCTGCAGGGCTGAAGTCTGGTGTAAGATGATGGATTGGATTCGCCCTTCTCCCTGTCACAGAGCTGCAGGGTGGATTGTTACAGCTTTGTTGGAAACCTCTGGAGGTCATCTCGGCCGTTCCTGAGAAATAAAAAGCCTGTCATTTCAAACAAACAAACAAAAAAACCCCCCAAAAAAAACTGCATCCTAGGCCATCACCAATCATTCTATATGACAAATGCTCCTTCTAACAACCCCACAATATCACCGCTTACCCCCAAATTTTTCTTCAGTTTAATCTCTCCTACTCTGGGTTCCCACATTGCCCTTAATTCCACTCGAAGCAGCCCTGAGAAACATCGCCCATTATCTCTCCATACCACCCCTCAAAATTTTCACCGCCCCAACACTTCACCACTATTTTATTTTGTTTTTCTTATTACTATATGAAGACAGGAATGTCAGACCTCTGAGCCCAAGCTAAGCCATCATATCCCCTGTGACCTGCACGTATACATCCAGATGGCCTGAAGCAACTGAAGATCCACAAGAGAAGTGAAAATACTCTTAACTGATGACATTCCACCACTGTGATTTGTTCCTGCCCCACCCTAACTGATACATATATTCTCCCCTGCCCTTAAGAAGGTACTTTGTAATATTCTCGCCCCGCCCCCCACCCTTGAGAAGGTACTTTGTAAGCCTATCCCAAACCTGTAAGAACCAATGATAATTCCACCACCCTTTGCTGACTCCTTTTTTGGACTCAGCCTGCCTGCACCCAGGTGAAATAAACAGCCTTGTTGCTCACACAAAGCCTGTTGGTGGACTCTCTTCACATGGACATGCGTGACCGTGGGGACAACTCAAAGCAGGGAGGGGGCTTCCAGGTCACAGGTAGGTGAGAGACAAACAGTTGCATTGTTTGAGCTTCTGATAAGCTTTTCCAAGGGAAGCAATATACATCTATTTCAGTGAGCAGAGGGATGACTGAATAGAACGGGAGGCAGGTTTGTCCTGAACAATTCCCAGCCTGACTTTTCCCTTAGCTTAGTAATTTTGGGGCCTCAATATTTTCCTTTCACACTTCTCTATGGCCCAGGCACTGCTGAGTTGGAGTCAGCCATTGTGACTCTTTTTTTTTTTTTCTTGTAGAGATGGAATCTCACTGTTTGGCCCGGGCTTGTCTCGAACTCCTGGCCTCAAGCCATCCTCCTGCCTCAGCCTCCCAAAGTGCTGAAATTACACGTGCAAAACACTGTGCCCTGCTTCCATTGTCACTTTAACTTCTTTCCAGTCTTTATGTCTCAGAATCCTCATTTGTAAAATAAAGTTAATAGAAGCCACCTGTAGAGCTGTTTGTGAGGATTAATGAATCAAAATGGATGAAGCACCTAGAACAGTTCATGGCTCAAAGTAAGGGCTTCATAAATGTTTAGCTATTTTTATGAGCAGGTCAAGAAAGAAGGCATTGGTCAACACAAACAGTTGTACAGACACTGATTGTTAAATTGTAGCCAGAGGTAAGAGTTGACTTAAAAGGGAGAAGCCGAGGCAAAACTAATATAAGTAGAGAGCTTACTCAGGCCACATTTGAGGGCTGCAACCCAGAAGCATAGATTTAAGTTGCCTGAATATACACTCCAATTTGCAGTAGTTGCAAGTGAATTTTTAAAGGCAAAAAGAGGGAGACAGGGAGTGGGCTAAGACAAAGTTGTTGGTCAGGAATTCCCATTGGTTTACAGAAATAACACTGATTAGCTATACACTATGAAGCATTAGGGTGTGGGTTATGGTGTCCCATGTGGCATTATTAGATTAACTTATAGCTGCCTGTGGCAATAGCAAGCCATTTCAAGAAATGAATACGTAGCTCAAAGCGGGGAGTAGGGCATGATTGTGAGACAGTCAAATGCCTGGGCATATAAAAAGAGATCCCCGGAGAATCTTCGACCTGCCCCACAAGCGTTTACATTATATACTTTTGTGCAGATGAGGGAACCTGCCCAGGACCTTGTCTGAGCCTGCCCACATGCACCCTGGGGGAAGGGGCGGAGCCATGGGCAATGGGAGGAGCCTGGCCTCTTTAGTTCCTGTGTGATGGCCTGGGATTCAATCTGTGAGGTGGGGGGCCTGTTAGCAGGACTCTATCTCGCTTTGCTGTTTTTTCCATTTTTCTCTTCACCCAATACAATCCTGCTCTACTCACCCTTTAATGTGCCTTCGTGCCTAAATGTTCCTGGTTGTGTGAAAAGAACCCATTTACGACTGAACTAAGGTGCAAAATTCTGCGACAGTTGCTGCCTCGTTTTAATGCCTCTCTGGGCCCAATAATTAAAAGGACCTGCGTTCCTCAGATAAAAGTTCTTTTCTTTTCTCATAACTTAATATTTTTCTCAGTTTTAAGAAGCCATAGGAAAGACGCATTTCTGTAGGAAGTAACTGCACCTATAGCCCAATCTGGATGCAGTTCTTTCCTTCTTCTAAGCCTTAGGGTATGCTTCCTCTATGGATGGAAAAAGTCAAACTCTGTAAACTATTTGAGGAGATTTATGCTGAGCCAAACAGGAGTGACCATGACCCATGACACAGCCCTCAGGAGGCCCTGAGAACATGCACCCGAGGTGGTAAGGGTGCAGCTTGGTTTTATACATTTTAGGGAGGCATGAGACTTCAATCCAATACATTTAAGAAATACATAGGTTTAGTTCAGAAAGGAGGACAACTGGAAGCAAGGAGTGGGGAGTGGGGTGCAAGGGGGTGGGGGAGGCTCCAGTCTATAGATAGATTTAAACATTTTTTGGTTAACAATTGGGTGAGTTTCTCTAAAGACCTGGGATCAATAGAAAGGAAACGTCTGGGTTAAGATAAAGAATTGTGGAGACCAAAGTTCTTATTTGCAGAGGAAGCCTTCAGGTAGTAGGCTTCAGAGAGAATAGGTTGTAAAATGTTTCTTATCAGACTTCAAGTCTATATTGATGTTACTGCCAGAAAGGTATAATGAGGCACATCCGATACCCACTTCCTGTCATGGCCTGAACCAGTTTTTCAGGTTAAATTTTAAGAGTGTTCTGGCCGAGGAGGAAGTCCGTTCAGATGGTTGGGGGGGTGCTTAGAATTTTATTTTTGGTTTACACCTCGATTGTCTAGAACAGTGCTTCTTACACTTGAATGGTACATAAATCACCTGGGATTGTCATTAAAAAGCAAATTCTCTCTCAGTAGGTCTGGACACAGCTGAGATACAGCATTTCATCCAAGCTTCCAGGCGATATTCCTGCTGCTGGTTCACAAATACTGGTCCCAGGGACCCAGCACAGTCCACAGAACTTCCGGTGATGACGGAAATCTCTACCTGAGCCACTAATCATATGTGACTACGGACCAATTGAAATGTGGCTATTGAAAACTGAAGTTTTCATTGCATTAAAATGACGTATAGGCCGGGCGCAGTGGTTCATGCTTGTAATCTCAGCACTTTGGAAGGCCGAGGCAGGTGGATCACAAGGTCAGGAGATCAAGACCATCCTGGCTAATATGGTGAAACCCCGTCTCTACTAAAAATACAAAAAAGTAGCCGGGCATGGTGGCGGGCCCCTGTAGTCCCAGCAACTCTGGAGGCTGAGGCAGGAGAATGGTGTGAACCCGGAAGGCGGAGTTTGCAGTGAGCTGATGTCACGTCACTGCACTCTAGCCTGAGCGACAGAGGGAGACTCTGTCTCAAAAAAAATAATTATAATAAAAATAAAATAAAATAAAACGAAGTATAAATAACTACGTATGGCAAGTCGCTACCTTACTGGACAACACAGCTCTAGACTTATGCCCAGAAGGTCCAGCTCATAATCTGGTTTCTAATTACAGTCACAGAACAAACCATGTTCAGTACCACATATTACATCTTAGATAGCAACGAGGACTCAGCAAAAAGGTGTGTACAGCTCTACCCAGACCCTCTGCATACCCAGAGCATACAGTCAGCACATGTGCTCTGATGATCTGTAAATGTCAGTAAAATAACTTTCCTATTTGCAGATAAACTTCCTGGTAGAGCTGTCTGACTGAGTTCCTTCCCTCACCTCTGGACCTGGGGCTAGAACCACTGTCGTAGTCTGTGTGTTTGTAAAGAAAAAATAAAAACCAGATATTTAATTAACATTTTTTCTGTGATCTCCTCAGCTCCATAATTTTTACTTCTCAATTGTTTTCTTTGCATGCGTTTAGGGCATGCCCTTGATACCCACCAACAACATAAAAACAGGCATTCTCTGCACTTAAAAAATGGAAAGTTTGTAAAATTGAGACACGTTAAAAGATCTTTATCTGACTACATTGTGAAATAATAATAAAAGAACTTGGAATGTTTGATATTCAGGAATTTTTCTCGGGTTGAAAATTATTTCCAAGTGTTTAGCTTTCTTCTGGGTTGTTCCAAACAATCTTTGTGGTTTCTTTTGGTTTTTGTTTTGTTTTGTTTGAGACGGGGTCTTGCTCTGTCACCGAGGCTGGAGTGCAGTGGCACGATCTTGGCTCACTGCAACC